ATGATACATCCTTTTTGAATTTTTAAGACTGCAAGAAACTATAAATTACAAAAGACACGTTTCCTATATTGCAACAGAAAACTGAAATGGGCTTAAAACAGTTGTGAGGGCTAAATTTTTTCTAGTCCTCGGAACCTTTTTTCTTTAACATTTTGCGAACTGTGAGGGCATTCTGACCTTCAGCTAGGGGCGCAGCTCGGACATCTGCGAAGATTGGTGCGTGCTCCAACAGAAATTAGGATTAATTAAATTCTCAGAGGAGCATTACCATCAAAAGAGGGTAAAATATCACTGATGAGACTCCTGTATCAATGATTTCCTTTTTCAAAAGAAAAACCGCATAATTGCGAAAAGAATATTTTCTAGTTGTTATCGAAAATTTTCTCCTATTCTCAATGTTTTTGAAGTCAATTGATAGCTTGAAAATTTTTGATGTTGATAGTAAGCTTGGCATAAAAATATTTCCATAGTACGTTCTACTAATAGATAGAAGATAACGTTTTGGAATTGCAGTGCATTCTTTCAAATTCATAACGGATTTTCTGCGATGGTATAGTTGGATTTTGCTCTTTATAAACTTTACGCCAGAACAATTTACTAGTGAGGGTTTTTTGTAAACGTATATCTAGAAAGAATACTGACCAGCTGTCTTGCTGCCACGTGCAATCGCATTTCAAGTCAATCACCGTTAGATAACACAAATCTCAACAATCTCAAATCAAATCCAAAAAAGAAAGAATGTTTTTAGCCTAAAACGAGGTTGGTACGCCAGGGCCATACACCGGTGTTTCGGAGGCTCGTCCTCCTCGTCAGTGACCCCGCCCCCACATTAAGCCCTGCATTATAGCAAGGAGGGAGGCGTATGTTTTAAGTGGTGATGGCATAGTGTACAATGACACTGGTCCATCACCATCAGTCGATGTTTCGGCTGGTAGACCAAAACTAATCCATTGAATAGACTGTTTCTAAAACCTCGTTATAAACATTCAAAATCAAATCCAAAAAGAAGAATGTTCTTAGCCTAAAACGAGGTTGGTACGCCAGGGCCATACACCGGTGTTTCGGAGGCTCGTCCTCCTCATCAGTGACCCCCGCCCCACATTAAGCCCTGCATCATAGCAAGGAGGTCACTGACGAGGAGGACGAGCCTCCGAAACACCGGTGTATGGCCCTGGCGTACCAACCTCGTTTTAGGCCAAAAACATTCTTTTTTTTTGGATTTGATTTTGAATGTTTATAACGAGGTTTATAGAAAAAGTCGATTCAATGGATTAGTTTCGGTCTACCAGCCGAAACATCGACTGATGGTGATGGACCAGTGTCATTGTACACTGTGCCATCACCACTTACCACATACGCCTCCTCTCCTTGCTATAATGCAGGGCTTAATGTGGGGCGGGGGTCACTGACGAGGAGGACGAGCCTCCGAAACACCGGTGTATGGCCCTGGCGTTTCAACCTCGTTTTAGGCTAAAAACATTCTTTTTTTTTGGATTTGATTTTGAATCCTTATAACGAGGTTTTAGAAACAGTCGATTCAATGGATTAATTTCAAATCATTTTGGAGAAAGCTTCTCAGAACACTACAATAGCAAACGAAGACTGGGTTCAGCACTCCAAAGGGTGAAACTTCGCAACATTGGATCCACGTTACCTCGCTTTTGCAACATATATATATATATATATTTATATGTATATATATGCAAAACGTAATCTTCCTTCAACTGCTACACTACAATAAAGCGCTCTTTCCAAAACTAAGGTTGCTGGGGAAATCATCGAGATCTAAGCTATCGAAAAGTTATTAGAAATCTAGCGGATGACCATTTTTCAACGAGAAATGCTTGTGTGTGAAAAATATGTTTATTTCACTGCTGAAGCGCATCAAGAAAGCCATCTTGAAAATAAAGTATGCCTTCGAAAATTTTAACATTTTAGCTATCAATCAGTTATTATAACTTTCAAAAAATCACAGTAAGCGTTTTCTCTCCAAAATGTTAAAACAGGATTTGGACGCCGAAAGCGATCCAGATTTCAAAATCTAATCCTTTTTTTGACTAATGCGGCGCTCTAAAGAGTCTTTTTCAAATACCAAGTACACCGTTGAAACTATTAAGATTTGCCCTATCTAACAATTACTAACTTTTCATAAAAAAAATTCCATCCTCCAAAAATGCCTGAGTGTGAAACAAACTCTTATTTCGACTTGAGGCCGGTGACGTTGAAGGACCTAGTACTGCTGCAAGAAGTTTTCGCAGCTTTTGTAACAATGAGTCTTTCCTTATCCATTTTTTTCCGTCTCCATATCTGTTAACTGTCTTTTTTTTTGAAACTAAATCATTTCGACAAGACCACTGCAAGAAACGGTCAATAAATGTATTGCAATTGATTATTGATACCCAATATTTGTCAGCACAAGTGGGTTCAATGCCGATAGCAGCTGCCCCGCCAAACCGTAGACGGTTGGCTGTTGACAGATAACGCGTTGTAGCGTAAAAAGAGTGCTGCGCAAAACTGAGCAACGGTTAGCATACGCTCCCGGAAAGAGTGAGATCTGCGTTCGATTCCCGGCTGATGTAAGTTCTTTTGCAGAGCACGCTACATTATTGGATAAGATAATTGGAAGGCAGGTTTTGAGTACTGATGAAGGGTTAGCAATAATTATTCTGTTCAGGGTTCGAAACATTTATTCACGATCTAATTGCAGCACCATAATAATCTGTTTGCCTTGACCATCAGGCATCATACACACCCAAACACTGCCGGCATCGTGGACAGCAGTGAAATCATGAGGAATCGTCATAAGTCTCGCCATGTTTGTAAGTATGTTCATTTACAGCTCTGCAAAATCTGGCAAATGTCTTGGATACAAATAAAAGCTGTACTTCCATTTTTTTGCAAGAGATATTCACAATACAATGACGAATTTGGTAATCAGCATTTACATCTGGGGCGACGTTGGCTGTGAAACTATTTGGTTTTTCAAGAACTTCAAAGACGCCCAAACCCTTCAACTGTCAGCGAAATTTCTCGAAACAAGTTTGTGACAGATTCCACTATTTTCAAGCATAGGTATATCAGTTAGTGAGAAGGAATGGGAAACCAATTTTGCAATGGAATCGAAGTTGTGAAATGGAATACTTGAAAAGAAATACCAACAAACGCGTTATTTCTCTACAAGGCATGGCTTAAATTTGATTCCCACCATCTCACTTGTTATTCCGTGGCAAATAATAAAGCTCTGTCTTGCTCTATAACAAAATATTCGCAATAGAGAAAAGGCTATCGTTACAAGCGTCTACTTATGAAAAATTTGTGAAAGGAGATATTCGCGACGACGATGTGCAACTTTCGGTGCGACAAGTTTTTGTCAGCAATTTTGCAAAGAGGATAGAATATCGTTTCTTCAGCTTTGATGTCCTCATTAGCTTCCCACATTTATTAGACTTTAAAGTGTCCTTTGTTAACGGAGAGGTCAGGTGATTACCACGTTGAGAACTTTTGCTGGATTTTACTGAACGGTTATAGACAGGCGGAAAACAAGATGAGATCAAAAATCTACTAAAATGAGAAGCCAGAATGGAACTCGTTTGAGACGTCTGTGCAAAATAACCGGCGTTATTTAGGCTTACCGTGTGTCACAAAATTCTAGACTTTGTTGAAATTACCAGTATATCGAGATGTGTAAGTGGACGTTATTCAAAACGCGAATGAAATAACAGTGAGCAAAAATTTCTTGCTCACCTTTTTAGACGTTCCAAAATTCTCATCAGAGTAGATATCTATTGACGCCGTCAATTTTCGCAATCTCTGCGATGTGCAAACAAAATAGTATTTCTTACAGCACATTTTGTATAGCAGAGTCCCATAATGGTTACAAATTCCTCAATGATCTTTCTAGATCCTCCTAATGTTTCAGAAAGGATTATCTAAAAAATTTAAAATGCTATTTACTTGCAACAAATAATCACTTAGGCTCATTTCATAAATTAGGTTTCTGAAGCAATGCGAAGAAACTAAGTGCTAAACAATTATGTTTTCATGCTCGCCAAATATTATGTATACTTTCGATTATAAGGGTGAGCTCATTTGAGTCGAATCACCTGTCGACAAAAAAGCTACTGTTCTTTATTCCAACTTCACTACATAAGCGAGTATCATACAACACGGAATCTAAAAGCTTTATTTTGTGTCGTTCACGAATAATAAATAGAATCACATCAGTGCTGTAAAATCATCGCCTCTTTTATGAGTTTTCTGTGAACGCCGACCAGAGGTAATCGAATAGTTCCGTGTTGTAGGAATTCAACGATGTGGCGCATCCGTGTTGCTTTAGCTGAACTGTTAGTGTTATTCTTACACCATGAATACAATCTTTTTCGAAGTTGGTAAACTTCAATCAATAATAATACGAGATTGTTGAATTAGAGATCATATCAACACGATTGTTTCACAGCCTCAATCTAGTTGACTATTGTGTAGTAGGTGTCACTTCAGTTCAGCGTTTTTGGAGGCCACAACGAAAGGACAACGCTGCGGAACTACATTCGTTCTTACGGAGTTTCAACGTACTACAATCATGTCAGCGTGACGGATGTGACAGTGAACATCGCAAGAAGAACACTTACTGTGGAGACTCAACCCAAATCATCGTTGCAGTGATGGAATTGAAATAGTAAAAGTGATAGCCATTATAAAATCTACGTGAGCCTTTTTTAATCCCTTGAGTCGCAATCTGATCCTCACGCGGCAGGCGGCTGAATCGCGTCTCCATCACAGCGCGTTACTGTGACAGTGTGGTACTTCCGTGATGACATCTTCAAATTATTATCACTGCTAGAAGGGTTTTAATGCTTCGAATGGTGGAACATGATAGAAAAAACTTTATTAAGGCTATTTCTGTTTGAGATATGCCCAAACAACTACAAAACAATGAACTATTGAATGAACAATGTACAGTGAAGTTTGAACCCTTCATGTAGAGTGATGTGCGAGACTTTCGCGTCAGGCGGGACTCGAACCCACATCTCACCCCATCCAGGAGCGCGTGCTCAAACCCTTTGCACTACTGACGCCCATTTTGCTTACCACTCTTTGTACACTACAACTCATCTATCCGTTATCGACCAGGCGTCAACGGCCTGCCTAGATAGTCGTTTATCGACATTGAACCTTGCCAAGCTGACAGATATTGTTTATTAGATGATCAAATATAATTCCTTTTCATTTAACCTCTCCTAGCGGTGGTATGATGTTTTGAATATACCCATTAATGTAGAGTGATGTGCAAAATTTTTGCGTCATGCGGGACTCGAACCGCAAAGTCCGACGCTAAAGTTTTTGCACATCACTCTATATTAATGGATATATTTGAAACATATCACCGCTAGAAAGCGGTTAAATAAGAAGGATTTATATTCGATCATTCAAGGAATTATCCGTTAAAAATTGATACGCACATAGAGATGGGATGAGATCGATAGTTCCAAACAACTTTTATTATTGGTGACCTTCACGAGTTCTGACTTCCAAAGAGTCGTGAAAGGGGGGCTTTGTTCTAATCTATTATGGGTAATGCCTCTCTAGAATATCCACTTATTCCAATATGAATTTTATTCATCACTGCATCTTATTCAAAGTTCTCAAATCGACGAGCCCAAACTCTATCCAGACATTCCTAGGACATATACTAGAAGACCTCTTCAATGAACATTTTTCTAAAAGTCTTTCGTGATAAAAAAAATGTGTTTTCAGAATACATTTACTTAGAATTGTCAAAAGAAAAGTGAAGAAAATGTTGGAAATGCAAAACAACACGCTGCAAAAGCAAAACGTGATCTTTTTTCATTAGTAAATCGCACTATGGAGCCCATTTCACAAACCAAGCTTAACGTCAAAATTGGCATTTTACAAGCTATCGAATGAGCACAGATGCATAGATCAAAAAAGATAACTGCTGGAAGTGTATCATTTGTCAAAGTAAAATTGAATTGGAACAAAAGATTTTTGACACATGGCCTCCCTTTGAACCGGAAAAAATCTTTAGAATGGGATTATAGGAATGGAGGAACAACGGACAAGGTGCGGTAAGCTGTCTCCTGATATAATAATGCTAAAACCTTAGAAAAGGATTTCCGATGGGCAAAGACCTGTTGTATGATAATAGACTATCGAATCCTGCCTTATAAAAGTAAACAAATCTGAACCTTGTTGACAAAAACTGCAACCCCCAATGGACTATGTTTCGACTAATAAAGCTGTGAAAGAGCCGGTCCACATCATTTCAAAAGTGTAGTTCAAAATCCCATATTACTTATAACTCTATCGAATTTCAAAACACGTTTGTTATAAGTGAATCCAACTTTTATAATCAAAATATACAAATGAAGAACATCGCCTCACTCCAGATGACTTCCCCTTCTCGATCAGAAGCTCATCACTTTAGCTGAAACTAAGTATTCTAAGATAAAGCGGTACTTTTCTGCCATCAGACAAGCACTTTTGGAGGAACTTCTTTAGCTGCACAAAGACTTTCCATTAGACTGTCAATAATTGTTCAAAAGTCTAGATACTGAAAATTTCAAAAAGTTCCTTTTTCCCAGAAAGGTCTTCTCAAAGCGTTGTACCATTAGAAAAAAAATATATTTCACACGCGTTGCACATTCTCGCGCATTTTCACGCACATATTTCGCAGAACAGAACTCTTCTCAGGCTACTGGTAATTGTTCGATAGCGTAAATTAGGAGATTTCAAAAAGTACACAATTTTAGAAAGGGTTTCTGTACAGCGATGTAGTAGAGGAAAAAAGTATTTCACACGCTTTGCGTGGTATTGCGCGAATTTTCGTTATCTATTTGAAAGTTCTTTCTTGAGGAATTCCTACCCTTTTTATATTAGAATTGTAGAAGGAACTTCGTTCTATCGTTCTAGGGCTTAGGGTTTTCATTTGAATTTTTTATTGCCAAATATACCCGCAATTAAGCCTAAGCCTATGTACAAAAACCATATGGACCTATATAACGAAATATTGGAGTATCACAGTAATATGTTTTATCTAGAGTCTCTCTCATAATGGAGAAAAATCCCTGATCAAATATCAAATATCAAAAATCACAATCCTCCAGTGAATCGCGCTTGCGCGGCCCATCGATACCTATCAATCCACAATCATTCACACACCTAAGCCGACTGTAATGCGAGTCGTGTTCAACGTTCAATCTTAATTCCCTCATACAGAGTAGTAACAGTCTTATCAGAAAACAAGTATAGTGGTGGAATCGCCGATCACGCTACCGAATGATTACTAAAAACAGTAGTCTAAGGGAAGAGCTTTGCCCTGCGAGAAATACGCTATGTAAACAAATGAATTACTTTTGCTACAGCACTGTAGGCAAGTCTTTTCGAAAAACAAACACATTTTGAAATTTACAAGGCTTACGATATCGTTTGGTTATCAATAATTTCCAGAAAAAAGCTCTGCCTTGTGACATATAGAGCGATAATGCGCGACGAGTGTGAAACATTATTTTAGTTCTAGTGCTGCACCGCTTCAAAAGAGACTTTCTAAAGAAGAGTTGTTTTAGATTCTTTGAAATTTAAGACTCCTATGATTACCGGAAGTTTAGTGGAAAGCTCTAATGTGGCGAAAAATTCTCCTTCAAAATTGCCTCTCAATAAAAGAAATGTACCAGCAAAACTATGAATATTTAATGCTCTTTACCATGACATCATACATAAAACTAATACTAACGAAAAGAGGCGATACCCGTAACAAAAAATAATCAAAATGAGTCCTACGTACTCAAATGAGCATGTAGTCATGATTATTACACACATATGTACATTAGTATCTTGATCTAAACCACGAAACTATTCATAGATGGGTCAGAGGAACACAGTTGTCGAAATCCTGTAATGGCTAAATGTTAGTGCTCAACATCTGAGCCTTAAACAACTTGAACTTAAAACTATCAAAAAGTTATTGTCGAGCGCTACATTGCCGATCTCTGAACGTATGGCACGAAAAAATCTTCGGTATTACCATCTTCTACGTACCTAAACAAGAGGTAAACAATGAAGAAGAAACAACAAAGGAAATACTATCAATTTCATGATGATCTACGGAAAGAATAGGCTAGAAAGCGGAACTTCTTAGAGCATATTCAGAAGATCTGCAGCAATGAAAAATCTTCAAGTTAATGGAACATGCGTTCGTTATACTCTAAAAGGTCAAAGCTCTCGGCGTTAATCAATCCCTAAGGGATGCGCCACGCATTCGACTTTATCGAACACGGCTAGATGTGACTGAAAGCATTTATGACCTTTAGAATGACTCAATGATCTGTGGATGTATCACGACAGAGGTGCTATCCGCACAGGCAGGTCTCGCACCACTTCGCCGGCTCCGAAGGGAGGGAAGGATTAATGAGTCTGAGACCAGGATCGAACCATGAACTAATGTTGTTAAGGCAAACTATAGTAAGCCAAAGCTATAATAGCTGTAATACCATAATAAACTCAGACAGCACCTCATCTGCTTTTTTGTTAGGTCGTTCCATAAGTTTTAGCACTAGAGCGATAAACACTAAATTACTAAACTCGGAAGTTATTGAAATACCATAACATTGAAATCGTTTAATTGCGCAATTTCTTGCTTTTGATATGCGATTTGCCTATACTTGCTTTAAGATGAAGCCGTCATGGGAACAAATTTGCTTGCTACTTATTCACGATCGGCGATATAGGGGAAAATGCTAGTGAAGCGGCGCGCAGATCGACAGAGGTTCCTGTAGATGACCTGAGAGCGAATGATCCTTTAGACCGTTTTCTCCAGCTTTGAACTTCGCGGACCACTTCCTAGTCGTCCTTTCTGCAAACGTGTCGTTGCTCCAACCTGGCGCTGATCATGCGTGCCGCTTCACTAGCACTCCCCTACGCGCCATTCGTGCATGAGTAGCAAGCGAAATTGTTCACAAGACAGCTCCTTCTTGGAGCAAGTATATACAATTTGTACATGAAAATGTTCGCAAGAAAATGCACAATTGAACGATCTCAAAATCATGCAACTTCAATTACTTCTGGCTAGTAAGCTTAGTGTTTACTGCTCAAGCGCGAAAACCTGTAAAAAGACGTAATGATTCTAATCACTGGGCCTAAGGTGACATTCTTCAGGTGTTCTTCTGGATCCTATCGCTGCGTTAAAATCTATTAACATTATGTGCGTTAATAATACCATTCGCAAAAAAAAAGAATCAGAAAAAAAAACCATCATGATATATCATATCAATCGTTTCGAGTGTTTTCTTAAGACCACAGCTCAAATTCCAATATGCCATAATGTCATTTTTGAGCCAGGCATGTCGTATGGTCTACTGCCTGTCTTTTTTTAAACAGACCACACGACATGCGTGGCTCAAAAATAAATTTATGGCATCATGATATAGTTATCGAGAAGTAACTCAGTTACTGAAAATACTTGCTGTTAATATGTTGGATCACTCGAATTGTTGGTGAGAAAAAACTGGAAAAGACTCAGTGAATAATATAAAGAATTCACCTATAGAGTATCCAGCAAATATTCGCCAGATCGGAGATGTCTTTACCACTTTCAGGTAGTTCATAGAAAGTATTTCATGAGATGATATGTTCACCCACGGTAAATGAGAACGCAGGCTAAAATAAATAAAATCGACGAATGCTTACAAAGTATTCAAATGTTGTTTACCATTTGTAAGAAATCCCTTAACTGAAAGCATCTTCACAGAAAACGAGAACAATTTAAAGCAGCATCAAATGCGATACAAGTAAAAGGAGGATCAGTTAGCATTTTTCTCATTTTGATGTTCAGTAGAGCGATATAATCAAATAAAATATTGGACAACTTACATTCAAGATAGCGGACATAGTGTCAAGAAAAAGGTACGTTTACCGACATGCAGGTATTTATAAAAAATGCACTTTCACTAAGACCCTGGAAAGGGTGACACCGGTTCAAATACCACTTGGAGTTTAAAGTTTTGCAGATTTTGACAATAGTGATTACACTGTCAGCTTATTCTGGGCTAAATGAAGTTAC